GTTGGATCGGGGGGCGTGGGGCAGCAAGGGGACTGCTTGTGCTGCAGCTGATGTTGTCCTTGTCATGTCCGCAGCCCACCCCCATTGGCACGATGCACAGCGAGGTGCAGGTGCAGCCCCCGAACAGAGACAAAGCACAGCCACACACCAAACACCAGGTGAGTGCCGGCGCTGCCTCGGCTGGGGCACGGGACCGCAGTCATGTGCAGCTTGGGCTTCTGCTCCACGGACTCGCAGAGCCCAGCGGGGCTTCTGGATGCAGGCAGGGACTGGAGCATCCTTTTTTCCCCCAGTGCTGTCTGTGGGAGAGCTTCCTCCCTGCAGGTCTGGGTCTGTGACTGACGGGGGGACCAGGGCAAGTGTCCCTGGGGCCAGGGGGCCTGGCGGAAGCAGGAGGAAGCAGCCGTGGGAGGCTGTAGCTCCATGCCAGACCTGGACTTCAGCCAGAAAACTGCAGGGTTGAGTGCTGGCCGGTGGGTGAGGGCACAGTATGGGCTGAGCCACCTTGTGCTAAGGACGATGTCCCCAGTGCTGCGTCCCCGTGGGAGTAACTTGCTGCTCTCTTCACGGTGCCACTTTCTTCAATGGGACGGGGACATGGGACAAGGGAGGGAGCTGCCTGGGCCTCAGTGGGGGATTCATGGGGCAGCTTGGTAGCATTTTGTCCCGTGCTGGAAGGAGAGGCTGGCTTTGCCCTGGGAACTGTCAGGAAACATGGGGCCGAGCTGGGAGCAGCCCGGGGAGACGTGCAGCCTGGGTGGCTGTGGGAAGGGGGCCAGGCTGCCTGGCCCTTCTCCGGTGCCGTGGCCTGTCCTATCCTGGTGCAGGAAACACAGCTTTGGGACTGCTGCCATCAAGAGCAAAACCTCACACGTTTCCCCAGCCATCCTGTACAGACGCTCATCCTCTTGACTTGAACCTCCACGGGGCGCAGAGCACCTGCAAACAGACTGGAGCTGAGGGTGCAGCACACTGTCCTCCCTCACCCACGTGTTCAAGCGGTGCCCCTTGCTGCTCCTCGCCGAGCACAGGGAGCCTGGGACAGCCCTGGCTCTCGCTGACCGGTGTCTGAGCAGCGCTTCCTTAGGAAGAGGGCGACGTCTTCAAAGCGCCTCTGGCTCTTTCCTGGGAACTTGCTCCCAGTAAGGTCTGCTCTCTGCTTCAACCTCCCTTCTCGAGAGCAGTGGGAAAAGCAAAGCACAAAACTCCCACGGCGTGGGAGCAGTTTCCAACCTGGGGATGCAGAGTCCCCCAGCAGCCATGGAGCTGTGCCACGCTCACCGTGGCGAGGGTTTGGCAGTGGGATGCTCCCCCACTGTCGGACAGCTGAGGAGCCCGTGCCCTCAAGGAGCAGCACAGCTCATTTCCTCGCAGTCACCCCGCAAAGATCTGCATCGACCTTGGAACATTGCGCTTGCAGGAGAGTGGCGGGCAGCGTCGCCTTGGCCCGGCTGCACCTCCCACACAGTGAGCAGCTCTGCGGTCCCGGACCGCTCTGAAACATAACTGCCGGCCCTGCGTGGGGCTGGCTGTGCTCCCTGGGACGGCGTTGCCCTCAGCTGCCCAGAGAGGACAT